GCTTTTTTAATGCATTTTTGCAGGCACATACAGCCTAGAGGAAACTTCAATACAGTGTCCGAAACGACTTACATCAGTAACTGTGCAAGGAAAACATTTGACAGTGCAAAACGTTTGATACAGATATAGCTAGTTGAAAATCAATGAGCATACATTTTAGCAAAAATAAACGGGTTTTTTATACTTGACTGTCAGACCCTTTATAGAGAATAGCAGGTAATTTAGTGTTAACAACTGAGCGATTGACGAAGGGCTAACGCTCGAAACGTCAGCTTTTTTACTCTTTACGGTGGCCAATTTACGTTTCAACTCAGTTGTTAACACTAAGTACCTGCTTTACTCTCCCACCGACGCAGCACCACAGTTTCTTTAGAAATTTATCCCCTTTCTTTATAGAGAAACAGAGAAATAAGAATTGCTAAAAATAGAAAATAGAGGATCACTCAATTACATTACGGTCTGTAAGAGTACGAATTGAAATGACTGATTCATCTATCGCAATTATTCAACTTAAAGTGGAAGCAATGAAGTGTTTTTTAAATCCTGTTATTTTATCTTAGCATTGCGTAACAGAAGTTTCTGAAAAGAATCTGGAACAACTCATATATCCCGGGTTGCAAAATTTTATAATTCCCCCCCCCTCTTGTTCTTTAACCCGACTACCATTTCACCCTTTAAACAACCATATCATGTCGAGATTCAAAGTCATATACCAACATCTTAAGAAGAATTCTTCACATCATAGTATGTAGATGTATATCATTATTTTACAATTTTTGATCCATTAATTGTTGAAATAAATAAATAATTTTAAAATAAATTAAATTTTCATCATAGATTCTGGAAAAACGCATTCACATCAAAAAATTTCGATAATTGATCTCCCCTAGTTTTATCATTACTGGTCAGTCATCAAATCATCATTCCTCCTCGCTCATATTGGTATAATCCATTAAAGGACTGCTTTGTCGGGGCTCTTCGCACTTTGGCGTGCATTCAATGTGGAAGCTTATCTTTTGGAATTCCTCGAAAAATGTCATTCCAAAAAGACCAAAACAGAGTGCTGCAATCCACTCGCTTATATTACTGAGCACGTGCACGCTGTAGCCTGGATCCGAGGGTTGCCAGTTCGCCACAACGTGTTCGGACTGTTGACGAAACTCCTCGTAGGCAAATATCTCCGCTAGGAAGAAGAGCGAACCAAACACTGTGATGATGCAGGAAAGGATGAAGCGGATCGTGAAGAGGAATTGGGTGTTAATTCCTATCTGGGAAAGCTTATAAGTAAGACATGTCTGAATCCAACAGTAGACTGCTCCGCCAGCAAACAACAGAACTGCACCGGTGTCGTGAACGTAAATCATCGAGTCCTCCTGTCAATTAAAGAGCAGAGGTTTTAATCGAAGTCGTACATCACATAATAATAATCGGCTATCCATTTCAGTTCTATGCAAGCAAAATGTCGACCGAGACCCAGCTCCTCAAAGGGCGGATAAATCGCTATCCAGCGGATAACTGTTAACAAAACGTGCTGCACTATCCACCGGATATGAGATTTATCCTGGCAGTGGATAGCGTTATCCACCCTTCGAGCAAGCGGGGGAATGAAGGAAAAACGATAATTTAAGTGATAATTTAATAATTTTATAACATTTTTTTAAAGATTCATTGGGGGTCTATCGTCAAAATTACTTCACCTTGAAGCGGGAAGGGAGAGAATTGGTGGCTAGTTTTACACCAATGGACTCTCCGCCCTTTTGATCAAGCAGGGACTGAAGAGAGTATACAATATGACGTAAAAATGAGCAACCGCGTGTTTCAACTTTAAATTTGTAGGGAAAATTAGCATTTTCGTCAGACAAAGTTCCACGGTTAAAAAAGGCCATTAATAATGGCACGTGTTCGTAATCTCAGGAAACTTAGATTGGGTGACGGCGCTTTTCCGTTAGTTAGTAGCTCGAAAAAATCCTTTCAGTCGCGACAGACTCGCGCTTTGGCTTATAGTCACTCACTTAAACTCACAAGATCTCATCGTTAATTCTCTCCTCTAGCTGCTACAAATTCCCTTGTAAACTAGTCATGAGAATTTGGTGTTCGATCAAGGTAACAACTTCAACCTGATAAGTTTGAGCGTTCTCATTACCTGTTTGCTGGAGTGTTTAAGGCTATTATGAGGAGAAAATACTTGTTAATCACTAGCGGGAATTAAGGGTTACGAGAGCTGTTTGTTCAATATTGTTTGCTGGCTGATGTCCACGTGTTTTGTTAAGTCGTCATCAACAATTTTATCATCTCGACTAGAATTCCTGGTTTATTCATGTCAGACAATTGAAAAGCTTTTAACGCCCGAAGAATAACCATCAGCGTGTTTTGTCCAGCCACTTTTTCGGACTATCACAAAATTTCGAAAAATTCAATAAAATATATTTTTTAACCTGATTATTGGTTATTTAAAGGGAGATGTCCTTTATAAGATTCTTCTTGTAATTTCATCCTATAGGTAATGGAATCTGCAAAACAAATCTTGCTTCGTATGATGACGAGTACAGAAAAAATATTTGAATCAGCAAAATCCGAGAAGAAACCCATTTTGTGCAACCATGGTTTAAGTTGTATGCATTCTAAATCGTTCTTGCTTTTTTTCTCGAAAAAATATATCGGCAAACCGATCAAATACTATGGAACAAATTTATAAGAGAGGATATCGTTATAATATGTTGTACATTTTCATTCATGCATTTTTAAACAAACGGAAATTATACATCTTAAGTATCCGTCCACGCCAACGAAAGCCCAAGGATGATTAAAGAATAACATTTTTGATACGATTTTTTTCCAATTTTATCTCGAACTTGAACTGCGCCGACGTAAACCGATAATTTGAATATTTCAGTAGACGGAAGAAAGTGCTTTCCATTAATACAAATTCTCACAGGTTGCCGTCTTTAAAGCCGAGAGATATTTACAAGTGAAATTTTAATTCAAATTCCCTAGCCTCGTTTGTTTTTATTAGGAAGTTTCGATTCAAGAGATAACGAATGGCTATCGTTCGATAATAGAAACTTGAAATAATGACATTTTCTAGGTAACCATTAGTGATCATTAAAAATCAAAACTTTGGGTGTTAAATGGAATCATGATGAAAAAACTGGAAGGCTTCGAAAGAATAAACGCCCACAATTTGTAGGCAAAAAATTTGAATTTTGTGGTAGGAAATCCTCTAGTTGCCAGGTGATTTCAGCTATATTCTTTTTGAAAAAGTAGTTTCTACTCTACTTTTATATGAACGTTAAGATTTGTGATAAAATGAATCAATAAATGGAACTTCAGTGAATTACTTGGGAGACCAATTCGCAAGCCAATTGTTCCCAAGAGAAAAAAGGAGTTAGTATTCCCAATTGGCCAAAAAACGCTTCTGTAACATACAGAAAATAAATTACACAACGATGAATCCAGGTTGTGTTAGTGTAAATAAACCGCGCTGGCTGCGATGAAGAGAGAAAATGGTGATACAAACCTCATTTTATTTTTCACAATTTTGAATCAGTGGGCAGGCTATTTGTCAATGAGACAGGTGAACAAACGAAACCTGACCTGCATAAATTAAGACAATTTGACACCGAATCTACTGACATTGCTATTTCAGAACTGTCGTAGAAAGTATCATGATCTTGTGTACTTTCTTAATCAGTACGCACAAAACGTGCAATTTAATAATACAGAGATATGGGCAGCGATATTTTTCCTCGTGTGGTCTCGTCCAGTATTTTCAAATCCTCAACCGTATATACAGAATGACTTTATTGACGATCACAACATTAAGTGTCGCATCACAGTCGCATGAATGTAGAAGACATTTTTAAACCTAAATTCTAAATAATTATTATTTTCACGTGCCTAAGTACACCGAAAAATGGACTCACCTCGTTCGATGGAAAATTAGCGATAATCGTTCCTCCAAACGCGCTGACAAGTCCGAAGCCCAAACCAAACTTGTTCAACCGGCTGAGACGAAGATCCGACGATTCAAAGCCCTTGGTCAGCATTTGGAATTGAAGGTAACGAACAAACACACTCACAGCCAGAAGAAGCGCAGAGAAATTGAAGAACTCCGAGAACAGATTTGCTTCTGGAATCCGTGCACCTGTATCGCTGATGGCGGGAACGAATGGATAGATGTGATTCAGCGAGACGGCGATAGTGTAACATAGCAGGAAGGTAAATGATGTGAAAAGCGCCCAGAATACAGGTAGGTAGCCGAACCCAGGCGAAAGATCAAGTTTGATCATAGCTGTTGATCCGCGTGCTGTTGGAGTTTCAGGAATACGAAAGTATTAAAAATCTACATCACTGAAGGAGAAAGTGTTCACCGGAGCAGCGGACAGTCGACTGTTAAACAAATTTTGATTCTATGTCAGATGCCCGTACAACTCTTCTATTTGGCGCTGAGGAATACAGAAAGTACTGTCTCATATGCAAATTTTGGACAACTGACAAAAGCTGAGTTAAGAAACAACCACACTGGCCGCTGACAATTAAGCCGAACTCATAGAAAGGTGATTGGTTGAGAAACCAAATATAATTTACTATTCATAAACATTGATCAAAAGACAAAAGATTCTCGCTCG